TAGAAGGGTGATGACGGATTCAGCGCTGCTGTGGAGAAAAATACATACAATAGCTTCTGCCGCGTATATTTTCATGTCCTGCTGACGGAAGGATTCCGCATTTGAGTACGCGTGGTCGTCACCCGTGAAGCTCTAGCCGGATTCAAAGGCAAATCCGAGAATGCTACCGGCCAGATCGGACTTTTTGTGCAGGGAATCGAAGTTGAGGCGTGCGTCGCTTGAACTGTGGAAGGGCAAGGTATCGCCTAGACCCATCGATTTGAGTCTGTTGGTGAGAAATCTGGGCATACCATAATCGGATGAATACTTGCAGAGACAGAAGCGAGTAGTAACGCTGGTTATGCCACCTTTGATGGGACATTAGCGGTCGCCTAGGAGGAAATTGGCCTCTCCGTGAAGGAAAGGATAAAACGCGAATAATGATCATACGTACGAATAAGCGACAGGGAGAGTATGCGCGCAAGTCAGTATCCAGGAAATTCCAAAAGCAGAACGCAGCATGGTGTATCGAAGGGATGGCAAATACTACAAAAAGGTAGGCGTGCATAGATGGTGAATGTGGGTGAAACAGGAAGAGGCTCACTGGAAGCTAACTGTACAATCGACTGATGAAACGTGCCACGATGGACACGCGGACACACGACGTGTGGGGCCTCGTACGAAGTATCATACCACACCTCACTCTCTCTGAAACCTCGTCGGATATCCTAGATCACAGAGAACATCAACAAACATTGCTGCACTAAGATGCTGAAATATGGCTGCGCTGAATGAGATGTCGGAGCTCCTAAACGGATTATGAGTACGGATTTGTTATTGATTTGAAAGCCACACACCGCATGATTGCCACAGTTACCATGGCGCAGCAATTTCCCACAAATCGTACTCGACCTCAAGCTCGACACCATATTGCGGGAATACTCGAGTAAACAGATCTGACCATTCCTTGTAGCGCGGATATCTGATGTAGAGAGCGTACGTATACTCCCAATATTCTGGAAGCCAGCCTGCGCATTCCCAGTCGATCAGCCCAACGGGTCGCATGTCCTCGTTGAGCAGTATATTGTGCGGGGTGATGTCGCCATGAGTGAAACAGATCCGGTGTGGTCTCGAGTGGCTTGCGGCGGCCATCACGCCGTGCGTCGCCTCGTAACCACTCACCAGCTCCTCATGAAATTCTTTCTGCGAGGCGAAGGGCCCAACATACTCGTCATGTCTGATGCGATAGCTTTTGATCCCATTGCCACCAAACCCGCAAACCGCATCCGGATCTGGAGGCTCGAGAGCTCTGAGCTGGCCGAACCAGTCGCGAAGCGTGTCCTCGAGGACCTGTAGCTGACGAGGCGAGAGGTTCCTTATGTGGCCTGCGCTCTTGCCTAGCTCCTCGCCGGGTACTCGCGTCATCAGTATGTAGACCTGATCGCGCCAGAAAGGGACGACGTCGAGAATTCTAGGAACAGGGATTGTTGTGTGCTCGCGAACGTACTGAGTGGCCAAGACCTCTTGTGGGTAGGCTTTCTTGAGATACAGGCCAAATGGCAGGGGCATCACACGCGCAGCATGTTCGCCGCGACCTAAACGCCGCGAAAGCTTCCATATAGTGGTATATACTCTCCCGCGCAGGCGTTGTAGAAGTGGGAGCTGCAGTAGGGACCAGATATAACTGAGGTGGGAGAACAAATAAATGATGTGATTGTCACAATGACTCCGTCAAGACTCACCTCGTAGTTCAAGACGTCGAACTCAGGTATGAAGTCAAACCCCAAGACGGTCTCTGACAGAAGTCTACGAAGAGCAGTAGCTTCCCCAGTTTCAGCGACCAGAATGGGTCAGCCGCAGCGATAGGTTTGTCTCGTACCCATCCCCCCGTATCCGCACCCCACCACCGCGAAAAGGGGGTCTGGGGCAGTTAGATAGGCGCACCCCCCCCTCGGA